CCCCCTCGGCCACAAGGACCGCGAGCCCGGCCGGAGCGCGCCGGGCATGTACGCGCGCGTCAACGAGATCCAGGGCTGCCCCGTGTCGTGGCGCAACTTCGCGTGGCGCTGGCAGAAGGACAACGCCAACGACCCCATCGTCTGCCTCGACCACCACTTCCTCTGCTGCATCTTCCGCATCCTCCACGCGCGCTACGAGGCCCGCATGGCCGACGAGGGCGCGCCGCCGGCGGAGCCGCCGCTCTGCGACGAGGGCGTCGACGTGCTCGTCTGGAACGTGCTCGTGCGCTACGGCGGCAAGTCCGCGGACATCGACAACAGCGGCCACACGACCCAGCACGAGATGACGGCCCTGGCGCGGCTCCTGCGCCTCCAGAAGACCTACGACGCGCACCCGGACATCGACGACGGCACCGCGCTCTGCGCGGCGCTCAACTACTTCAACGGCGTGTCCACGCAGGCGGAGATGGAGGCCAACTTCGCCCGGGAGCTCGAACTCGACGCCGACCTCGCCGAACTCCACCACGCGGGCCCGGACGTGCCCGCGACCGCGCGGAACCTCGGCCTCGAACGCGCGCGGTCGCTCCACGGCGCCCTCCTCGAGGCGCCGGACGACGCCGTGCCCTCGTCCCACGAGCTGTCCTACTGCGGTACCCTCTAAAGCAGACCGCGCGCGCCGAGGTGAAAGGGGTGCGCGCGGCGGGCCGCGCGCGCGCCTCAGCGCGCGGCCTGGCGCTCGAGGTCGTCGCACGTGCGGCGGAGCGCCGCGTTGTCGAAGACGAGCTGCTGGAGGCGCTTGCCGAGCTGGAGGCGCATGCGCGCGTCGTCGGCGTGCATGCGGTCCCGGGCGACGAGCTGGGACCGGAGGCCCGCGGACTCCTGCTTGAGCTCGACGATCTTCGCGGAGGACCGGTTGACGTCGTTCTGCATCTCGAGCATCTGGAGCATCATCTTCTGGTTGTTCGCCCGCTCGAGCAGGAGCTGCTTCTCGAGCTCGGCGACGGCGTCGGCGACGGCGTCGACGCGCGCGCGGTCCGCGGGCGGCGTCGCGGCGCCGCGCGGCGACCGCGGCGGCCGCGTCGGCGACGGCTCGGGCGTCGCCGCGGCCGGCGGCGGCGGCGGCGGCGACGGCGACGCCGGCTTTGCGGCGTCGCGCGACAGGGCGAGGTTGAGCTCCTGGAGCGCGAGCTTGAAGGCCGCGAGCGCCTCGTCGGCGGCCGCGGCGTCGGCGAACTGGAGCGCGAGTTCCCGGCGCGCGCCGGGCCGCGCGGGGTCGTCCGGGTCCGCGCCCTCGGCCAAGAGCGCCACGAAGCGCGCTTCCTCGAGGCCGTCGTCGCGGTCCGCGAGGCCGCAGATGCCGCAGTGGCCCCGGCGCGCGCCGTAGAGCGCCGCGAGCGGCAGCGGCGCCGCGGGCTTCTTCCGGCGGAACAGCGACCGGGACCGCGGCGCGAAGTGGACGTCGCACTTCGCGAGCGCGCCGCCGTCGCCGTCGGGCCCGCGCAGCTCGAGGGCCACGGCCTCGCCGCTCGCGGCGTGGTCCTCCCAGAGCGCGACGTGCGCGCCGCCGCGGCGGAGCTTGTCGAGGAACTGCGCGAGCGCCCGCGCGCGGTCGTCGACGACGACGGTCGCCGCGAAGTCGGACGCGGCGCCGCGGGGGCTCGACGGGTCCTCCTCGCCCTCGTCGTCGTCCTCCCAGTCCGCGGCGAAGCCCGGGCCCGCGCCGTCCATCTTCTTCGCGAGCGACTGGCGCCGCGCGGCGATCTTCGGGCGCGAGAGCGCGTCGCGGTCGACGGCCGCGCGCGCGGACTCCAGCGCCGCCTCGGCGGCCTCGCGGCGCCGCGCCTCCTCGCCGACGCGCTGCCGCAGCTCGTGGAGCTCCGCCGCGTGCGACGGCTCCGGCGGCGGCGGCGGCGGCGCGCCGGCGCCCGCGCGCGCGGCCGCGAGGTCCCGCGACAGCGCGTCCGCGGACGCCTTCAGCTCCGTGGCCTCGAGCTCCGCGAGCGCGAGGGCATCCTGGGCCTTGGTCGCCAGCGCCGCGGCGGCCGCGGCGTCGCGCTCCGCGGCCTCGCGCTTGGCCCGCTCGTCGTCGACGACCGCGCGCAATCGTTCGAGCTCGTCGTCGTAGGTCCGCCGCGCGGCGTCCGCGTCGAGGCGGTGCTTCGCCTCGCGGTCCTTGACCTCGCGCTCGCGCGCCTGCTTGGACGCCTCGAGCTCCGCGGCGAGGCGCGCGACCTCGACGGCCGCGGCCTCGGCCGCCGCGGCCTCGCGCTCGAACGCCTGGCGCCGCGCGTCCTCCTGGAGGCGCACGATCTCGGCCTTCATGGCCTCGGCCTCGCCCCGCAGGCGCCCGACGTCGGCGCGGTCCCGCTTGAGCCGCCCCAGCGCCGCCCGCGCGAGGCGCGCGCGGGCCCGGGCCTGCGCGGCGACGACGCGCGCGACGGTCGCAAAACGGAGCCGCCGGAGCGGCTCCGCGCGCGCCCAGGCCTGGAGCCGCTCCGCCGCGTGCTCCGCGCGCGCCGCGACGGCGACGGCGCGGCCCCGGGCCCCGCGGTAGAGGCCCTGCGTCGCCGCCACGCCGCGGCGGACGCGGCGGAGCGCGCGCCGCGGCATCGCCCCGCGGAAGAGGCACGCCTGGAGCCGCGTCGCCGCGCGCGTCCGCCGCGCGGCGGCGAGGCGCTTCAGCGCCAGGGCCACGCGGCCAAAGGCCGCGAGCACCCTCGCCGCCGCGAGCTTGCGCAGCACGTCGCCCGCGGACAGCGCGCGGCGCGTCGCGGCCTGGCATTTCACCGCGGCCGCGCGCCGCGCGGCCGCGCGGTCCGTCTCCAGCGCGTCGTGGGCGTGCTTGCGCAGGAAGACCTTGGTCTTGCCGAGCTGGGCCTGGTCGGCGGCGAAGCCCGCGTTCGCCGCCGCGACGGCGATCAGGGCCTCGCACGCGGCGCGGCCGTCGAGCTTGGATGCGAACGCGGCCCCGAGGGGGCGGTAGTGGCGGAGGAACTCGGCGTGGGGCATGCGCACGGGGAAGCCCGACCGCGCGACGCGCACGGCCTCGAGCACGCCGCCGTAGCGCAGCTGCTCGGCGACCCGAACGCGCCAGAACGCGTCCGGCACGTTGTCGTCGTTCGGCTTCAAACAGCGCACGTAGTGGGGCTTCGTCGCGGACACGGCGCGCATGAGGCTCGCGAGCTGGCTCTTGAACTGGGAGCCCACGGTGACCGTCGCCTTCTTGGACGCGGCGCCGCGCGGCGCGGCCGCGAGCGAGCCCGGCGGTGGCTTTTTGGACGTCGACGCCGACTCGTCGCGGAGCGCCGCGGCCGCGGCGGCGTCGCGGGCGTCGCAGATGGCGCCGATCAGCGCGCCTTGCGTTTCTCCCCGCGCGGCCTCGAAGAGGAGCAGGGCCGCCGCGGGCAGCTCGTCCTTGTTCTTCTCGAGGAAGCCGTCGACGACGTAGGGCACCGGCCCCGCGTAGTGCTTGACCTCGAAGACGCCGTCGACGACCTGCTTCTTGGACGCGGCGATGCGCTTCGACGTCTTGAGGAGGCTCTTGCCCACGCGCGCGGCGTAGTTGGCGTCGGAGCCCCGGGGGAGCCGGCACTCGTCGTCGAGCATGGCTAATAACCCGCCCTCGGGCGGCGTGACCTTCCGGCCGCCCTCGATCAAGTCGAGGCAGTCCTGGTTGTCCGGGAACTCGATGAAGGACCAGGCGATGGCCTCGCGCGCGTACTCCTCCTGCTCGAGCTTGAAGACGTAGCGGTTGAACTGCTGCTGCAACGTCTCGTTCGTGTAGTTGATGCAGAGCTGCTCGAACGAGTTCACCGCGAAGCACTCGAAGCCGAAGATGTCTAGCACGCCGATGGACGCGGCGACGGCGAAGGTGCCGTCGTCCTCCGCGGAGATGCCCCGGTTGATCTCGACGACGAGCCACTCGAAGAGGCGGCCGTAGAGCGCCTTGGCGAGCGCGTCGCGCGCGGACGCCGCGTCTTTCGGCACGAGGCGCACGACGTACTCCTCGGATCGCGTCTTCACGAGGCGCGTCGTCAGCGCCTTGACCAGCGCCGCTTCGTCCAGCGCCGCGAGCGCCGCCGCCTCGGCGAGCTCCGCGGCCGAGTCGCCGGACACCGCGGAGCCGCCGCCGTCGTCGCCGACGTCGAAGTCGAACTGGACGTCGCCGAGGTGCAGCAGCGCCGCCGCGAGGTCGAAGCAGCGCGCCACCATGGCGCCGTCGACGCCGATGAGACCGAGGGCCTTGACCGTCTTCGCGAACTCCTCGCCGTCGTCCATCGTCGCCAGCTCGCAGACGCCGCCCTGGTTCGCGTACGCGTAGTGGGACCCGCAGTCCGCGGCCAGGTGCCATTTGTCGCCGCCGACGGAAGCCGCCGCGGCCGCGGCGCCCGACGTCTCCGCCTTCGCGATGGTCGTCGCGTGGAGCTGGTAGAAGACGTGGAAGTTGCGCTCGCCCGCCGCGTGGCGCGGGAGCCGGATCTTCTCCAGCAGGTACGTGTCCACGGCGGCGCCGCGCATGGCCCCGCGGTCGTCAAATTTCAACTCGATGAACTTGCCGAAGCGGCTCGAGTTGTCGTTGCGCACGGTCCGCGCGTTGCCGAAGGCTTCCAAAATCGGGTTCGACTGCAGGACCTTCTCCATGATGACCGCGTTGGAGCCGTCGCCGCCCTTGCCCACGACCGTGAGGTAGCGCATGACGATCTTCGTCGTCTCCGTCTTGCCCGCGCCGGACTCGCCGGAGATGAGCACGGACTGCGACGCGCCGCCTTGCGCGGCCGCGCCGCCGAGGATCGCCGTCGCCATGTCGCGGTACGCGGCGTCGGCGATGGTGTAGACGTGCGGGGCCAGGCGCTTGCCCTCGATGCCCTGGCTGCGCAGCAGACCGTCGTTGTAGTAGCTCTCCAGGATCTCCTCCGTGTAGAGCTGGAGCCGCTGGAACGGGTTCACCGCGATCAGGATCGCGCCGTTGAACGTGTAGATGGACCCGGCCTCGTAGCGCCGCATCAACGCTTCTAAGATCGCCGGCTCGTGGAGCACGGGCAGCGAGATGAGGTCGTCGACGAGGCCCGCGCCGACGTCGCGCCGCTTCACGTCGTCGCTCTCGGTAGCGCCCTCGGCGACGGTCCGCGTCCTAGACTCGCCCGTCGGCCGCTCGCCGGCGTCGACGACCTCGATGGCGAGCTCGCCGGCCTCGGACCGCGACGCGACGACGCCGGGCACCCACCCGTGCTCCTCGTCCCGCAGCCATACCTAAATAGCGTTCCAGGCATGTGCTTTTGTGCGTGTGGAACGAGGGCGGCGTCTCTGCGCGCGCGGCGCGCGGTGTCGGGTGGGCCGTGCGGCGTGCGACGCTGGCGCGCGCGGCGCTGCTGGCCTCCATCGCCGCCGGCGCGATGCGACGCGCGGACGCGATGAGCCGCGCAGTTGGTGGGCTCGTTTGTATGCTTGGTGGTGCATGTTTGCGGCACCGGAAACGTTGAACTGAGGGCGGTCCGCTACACACGATGAGGAGACCATCGGCGCGCGCCGCGGGCTGCCTTGTGCTCGCCGCGCTCCTCGGCGTCGGCTGCCTCTACGGCCCCGTACAGCTGCGACGGCGGCGGCTGTCGACGGTCAACGGCTACGACCTGCTGGACCTCAGCTGGTTCACGGGCGAGGACCACACGACTCGGAACGGCGTCGTGCCGTCCATGACATGCCCGGTGGGCAAGTACCGGCCCGTGTCGTCGACGGACAGCAACTACCAGCGCCTCGTGAGCCTGCGCACGGAGGGCTGCCGCGACTGCCCGCGGGGCAAGTACGGCAGCGTCGCCGGCCTGCAGACGGACTCGTGCAGCGCCGAGTGCCCCCTGGGCCGCTACCGGGACCTTCCCGGCGGCAAGTCCAAGGAGGACTGCCACCCCTGCCCGCCGGGCGTCTACGGCCAGCAGCAGGGCCTCACGACGAAGCACTGCTCGGGGAAGTGCCCCGCGGGCAAGTACAGCCGCGTCTGGGGCCTCGACGACCCCCAGGAGTGCGAGGACTGCCCGACGGGCCACCGCGGCTGGCAGTGCGAGTGGCCCATCACGGCCCAGCACTTCAGCGGGGACCGCGTCCACCACTACGACCTCGACTCCAACCCCGCGGACAAGCTCCGCGGCGAGCCCGTGGCCTTCGAGCGCGAGACCGAGGACGACGTCGACCCGGACCGGCCGCTGGACCTCACGACGCCCTTCAAGTACCCGCTCCGCAACGAGATCACGGACACGTTCGGTAACACGTAGCGCGGCGATGGGGTCGTCGGGCGGGTCGCGCGCGCGGCGTCGACGCGCACGCGTCCGGACGGCGTCGACCATCGTGCGGCGCGGCTCGAGCGCGCTCGAGAACGGGCGAGGAGAACTCGAGCGCCGTCATCTCGACGTCGTCGAGCGCCATCCCGAACGCGCGGCCATGTCGCGCCGCGTCGGCACGCCCATGAACAAGGTGGTGCTGAGCAGCGTCAACGTCGTGCGGCTCCAGCGCGGCGGCGGTCGCTTCGAGGTGGCCTGCTACCCGAACAAGGTCGTGGACTACCGCAGCGGCACGGAGACGGACCTGGACGAGGTGCTGCAGATCCGCACGGTCTTCAAGAACGTGAGCAAAGGCGTCGCGACGCCGAAGAAGGATCTCGCCAAGGTCTTCCCGAAGATGAGCGTCGACGACGTCTGCCGCGAGATCCTGAGGAGCGGCCAGCTCCAGGTCTCGGCGCGCGAGCGCGGCGCCGCGTCCGAGGCGCTCATCCGCGACGTCGCGGGCATCGTCGCGGAGCGCGTCGTCGACGCGGCGACGGGCGCGTTCCTGCCGCCGGCGTCCGTGGAGCGGCTCCTGCGCGACGAGGCGAACTTCGCGCCGTCGGCGACGCGGTCCGCGAAGCAGCAGGCGCTGGACGTGATCAAAATCCTGGAGCGGGACCACGGGCTGCGGCGCGCGCCGATGGAGCTCCGCGTCGCGACGGCCGACGACGCGCAGCGCGACGCCGTCGCCGCGGCGCTGCGCGCGCTCGAGGGCCTCGCCGTCGACGCGGAGCCGTCGGCCGTGCGCTGCGTCGCGCCGCCGAAGGCCTACCGGGACGTCGTCGCGGCCGTGAGCGCCGCGACGGCGGGCGCGGCGGCCGTGACCGTCGTCGAGCGCGCCGCGCGCGTCGCGCCGCCGCCGCCGGCCGCGGCCGACGCCGCCGCGGCCGCCGCGCCGCCGCGGCCGCCGCCGGTGACCAAGGTCGCGGCGCCCGTCGCGCCGAAGCCGCGCGCGCTGAGCTGCAACACGTGCGGCGGCAGCTTCGCGGACAAACAGGCGCACCGGGACCACTTCAAGTCCGAGTGGCACCGCCACAACCTCAGCCTCAAACTCGAGCACCGGCCGCCAGTCGACGAGCGGACGTTCTGCGAGGAGGTCGCGCTGGCGGAGGCCGCGGCGTAAGGTTACGGTCGGCCGCGCCGGAGGGGTGGCGGACGCGCCCTAGGACGCGCGCCAGGGCGCCGTCGACGAGAAGCAGGGGACGAACTTGTTGATCTCGTCCTTCTGCTGCTGGACGATGCACTCCGAGATCCACACAAGATTGCGGATCTCCTGCTCCTTGAGCTTGACGTAGGCGTAGTAGATGCCGAAGTGCATCTGGCCCTCGAAGGCGAGCTCGAGCATCTGGACCTCGCGCTCGTAGAAGGCGTCGTCGATGCTGCGGTCGTCGACGGACTCGTTCTGGTGCACGGCCCAGATCTCGCGGTAGACGGGGAAGTGGGACACGGCGGCGCCGAGCTGGCCCTCGTCGGCGACGTCGGCGAGCTTCTCCGTGCCCGCGGGGTAGAGGAAGCCGATGGACGGGTAGAGCCGCTTCCGGTCCGTCGACCGCATCGACGGCTCGTTGAGCGGCGTGCCGAAGGAGTTGAGCGTGATGTTGATGGCGCGCTGGTCCGCGCGCGCCTTGAGGATCTCGCCCATGATCTCCGCCGTGTCGCCGCCGACGGAGCAGCAGAAGTAGTAGAAGTCCTCGAGGTACAACTTCATGAGCGAGTGCTTGATGATCTCCATCTCCACCTCCTCGAGGACGTTGCGCACCTCGGCGGCGCTCGTGAGTTTTTCGGATGACTCCTGGAGGAAGCGGCTGAAGTAGGGCCCCACGGGCGTGTCCACGAGCACCGTCTGGTAGAGGTCCGCGTAGCCCTTCGGCGAGTTCTCGAACGTCGGGATCGACCGCATCGTCGAGTCGCGGAACATGCCCAGGGGGTGGCACTGCTCGATGAGCTCGCCGACGTCGCGGCCGGAGATGGTCCCCTTGAGCAGGAGCATGACGTTGTCGATCATGTACTCGAACGTGATGTAGTCGAGGAACGTCGCCAGCGGCTCGACGGCCTGCGCGCGCAGGAACTGGAACTCGGCGACCATCTTCTTCGTCGCGCACTCGAGGATGACCGCGGGCGACACGGACGCCTCGTTGGCGAGGAAGGCGTCGTAGTCCGTCTCCGCCAGGTTCATCTTCACGTCCTCGAGGGACTCGCACTGCGTGAGGTGGTGGTAGTCCGTGTCGCTCAGGAACCCCGTGCGGAACCCGCGGCACAGGGCCTCGGTCATACCGTGGTCCCGGTTGTGGAGGCACAGGTTCGCCATCGTGTCGGCGGGGGGGCGCGGCGCGCGACGCGAGCTGCCGCGGCGACGCCGTCCACAAGCCGAGCTCGCACGAGGAGGACGGCAACCCGCCGATACGGCCTTAAGTTGCACTTATAAATAAATTTGGGGCCGCGCGTGTGCCAGCCCCGAAGAAACCAATCCTGTTGGGCAGCCAGCCATCCTCGGGCGGCCATGAACGCCACGGGCATGAGCCGCATGAAGACGGTGGGCAAGGTCCTCGCGGGCCTCGAGCCCAAGACGCACAACGCGCTCGTCGCCGCCCTGTCGCCGCGGGCGTCGCCGGTCGAGCGCTGGGGCACGGACCTGTCGCCCTACCCGGCCGTCGTCGCGGCGCGCATCGAGTCGCTCCAGACGGGCGACCTCGTCGTCACGTCCAGCGGCGCGGGCATCTCGTGGGTCGGCAACGCGCTGCAAGTCTTGACCGATTCCACGTGGAACCACGTCGCCATGGTCGTCCGGGGCTACATGACGGCGGACACGGAGGAGGAGCAGGCGAAGCACGGCGACGCCATCGTCCACTCGGCCCAGCCTAAGCGCTTCGCGAAGCACCGCGACCGCACGCCCTTCCACTTCCACGTCGACTGCGACAAGGGGTCGCCGCACCTCTTCGAGGCGTCGGGCGAGGGCGTGCACATCTACACGGACATCGAGGAGCAGCTCCTGCGCTCCAAGGCCTACGAGGAGTACACGACGGTCGCCGTGCGCGCGCTGAACGGCGTCGACCGGACGCCCGAGGCCATGCGGGAGCTCGAGGACTGGATCGCGCGGGCGCGGGGGACGGAGTTCGAGAAGGAGGCGCCGCTGCACAGCCTCTTCGACGACTCCGCGGGCGACATCGACTCCATGCACTGCGCGGAGCTGACGACGGCGACGCTCCAGGCCATGGGGCTCATCTCGCCCAAGTTCGTCGCGGGCCGCGCGCCGCCCTGCGCCTACGCGGACGCGCCGCACGGGGCCGTCAAGCTCCGGGCCGGCCACTTTGGCCCCATGGAGATCATCAAGGCCGAGGAGCCCCGTCTGGAGGACGCCATCAGCAAGTACGAGTCGCTTTAAATTAGAGCTTCAACCCGCCTGTTTCAATGCCCGGGGCAGCCCCGATGGTCCTCTGAGCCGGGCTTCTGCGCGCGGGACGGGACATGTCGCGGAAGATGGACCCGTCCATCCGCCTCATGGTCTCGGACGCGCACGACGAGGCGCCGACGACCGACGCCCTCGCGGACCTCTCGGCCCGCTACGCCGACCTCGAGGAGGAGCTCGGTGCGGCCCGCGCGAGCGCGAGCCGCGACGCGGCGCTCCTCGCCGAGCACCGCGCCCAGGCCGCCGAGGACCTGGCGACCATCGAGGCGCTCCGGGCGGAGGCGCGCGCGGGCCGCGAGAAGTACGCGGCGCAGCAGGCGTCGCACGTCCGCGCGCTCGCGACGGTCCGCGCGGTCGTCCACAGCGACGGCGACGCGGGCGCCGCCCTCGTCGGCGCCCTCGCCGAGCGCGACGAGGCGCACGCCAAGGCCCTGGCGGCCCAGGCGCGCGCGAACGAGGAGCGGTCGCGGACGGAGCTCGCGGGTTTGCGGAGCGCGCTCCTCGCGGAGCGCGAGGCGTCCGCGGCGGCCGCGGCCGCCGCCGCGGACCGGCGGCTCCAGTCCCAGCGGCGGCGCCACGACATCGAGCTCGCGTCCGCGGCGGCGAACCTCGAGGTCGACCGCGACCGCACCTACGGATCCATGCTCGCGACGGCGCTCTCGGAGCGCGACGACGCGCACGCGGCGGACGTCGCCCAGCGGAAGCGCCGCTTCGCCAAGCAGAAGGAGGAGCTCGCCGCGCGCCACGACGCCAAGCTCGCGTCGGCGAAGGAGCGCCACGCGAAGCAGCTGAGCTCCGCGACGGAGCTCGCGCGCCTCGAGCGCGACCAGGCGCACGCGCGCGAGCTCGTCGCCGCGCTCAAGGAGCGCGACGCGGAGCACGCGGCGGAGTTCGCCGCGCGCGAGGAGGACGGCCGGCGGCGCTTCGACGAGGCCCAGCGCCGGCTCGCGCGCGACCACGAGGCGACGCTGCTCGCGGCGGAGGAGCGGCAGGCCGCGCGGACCGAGGCCGCGCTGGCGCGCGCGCGCGCCGCGTCCGAGGACGACGTAAACCGGGCCAAGGCCGCCGTCGCCGTCGACAAGGACACGGCCCACATCCGCAAGCTCGCCGCGGCGCTCGGCGAGCGCGAGGCGCGCCACGCGGAGGACCTGCGGCGCCGCGAGGCCGAGTGGGCCGCGGCGGCCGAGGCCGCGACGGCGGAGCGCGAGCGGGCCCACGCCGAGGGCCGCGAGCGCATGCGCGACCAGCACCGCGCGCAGCTCGCGGCCGCGAAACGGGAGGCTTTGGACGCGACGGCCGCGGCGGACGAGACGCGGTCGCGGGACCTCGGCGACCAGAGCGCGGCGCACCGCGACGACCTCGCGGCGCTCAACGCCAAGCACGCGCGCGCGCTGAACCTCGTCCGCGCGAAGCACGCCGCGCGGCTCGACGCGGCCGCGGCGGAGTCCGCGGCGGACCGCGCGCGGGCCGACCTCGAGCTCGCGGCGGCGGCCCGGGACACGGCGCGCGTCGAGGCGCGCCTCGCAGACCTCGAGGACGAGCTCGCGGGCCTCCAGGAGGGCCTCGGCGGCGCGGTCATCATGGTCGACGTCGACCGCCACGGGGCCCGCGGCGCGGACCTCGCGTGCTGGGGCGACGACGGCGCCGTGCCCGCGGGGCCCCCGACGAAGCACGACCTGAGCTGGTCCTGCTTCTAAATTGACGGCCTCTTACTCCGAGTCCCGCGCGTCGCGCGCGTAGCGAGGGCGCGGCATGTTCGCGTCCGGAGCCTCGAGCGGGACGCCGTCGAGGAACGACGCGGTCTTGGCGGGCGCCGCGCCGGCCGCCGCCTTGTACCGGGCCCTGTCGATCTCGCGGACCTCGGCCTCGGGTCTCGGGCCGCCTCCGACCTGGTAGCCGAGCGGCGTGTTCGCGAGCGGGCCGCTCGGCGGCGCGTTCGGCGGCTTCCCCGGCGGCGGCTTGAGCTCGGGCGCGTCGGCGAGGAACGACGCGGTGGCGTGTGCGCTCGACGCGAGGCCGGCGGCCGATGCGGTCGCCGCCTGGAAGAACGCGCGCCGCGGCAATGTTTGGCTGCTTTTCATTGCTGTCGTCGGCGCCGCGAGCAGCAGGCATGCAGCGATCAGCATCGGAGCACAGCGGAGCTCTTTGCGGCGCGGCATCGGAGCGTAGCAAAACCGCTTCGGTCTCAGATTGCAGCATTGGCGCAGCGTCAATTGCAAAGCCATGCTTGAGCAATGCACCCAGACCTTCAACCAGCCAAAGCTTCCCTGCCAAAGGTTGCGATCGTCTGGTCGAGAGGCTGCCCCGACGCGCCCGGCCGCGCGCCGCGCCCGCTGCGAGACCATGGCGGTGGCCGCGCCCATTCCCGTGGACTTCTCCGCCGTCGAGTGCACGGAGTTCTTCAAGCTCAACGAGTCCATCACCTTCTTCGTGCTGCTCACGTCCTTCATCCTCGCCGTCGAGTACCTCGTCCCGCCCGTGCGCCTCGGGCCCAACAGCGGCCAGTAAGCGAGACACAAAACCTTAGACCATGTCGGCGGACCGGTCCGAGTGGAGGAGGGGCGTCGGGTCCGGGCCGTCCGGCGGCGGCGGCGGCTCGGCGCGGCGCGGCCAGCAGCGGCAGGGCGCGCGGTGTTGGACGACGTCGTCGGGCGCGTCGGGGGCGTCGAGGAGGGCGTCCGGCGGCGCGTCGCCGTAGGCGCCGGCGGCACCCCAGAGGCCCCGGACGTAGCCCGCGAGCTTGTGGGGCGCGAGCTTGCGGCTGTAGGAGAGCGCGAGGCTCTGCTCGATGAAGGACGGGTCGACGATGAGGAAGCCGGCGGCGCGGGCCTTGGGGTCGACGACGACGGGCGTGCCGCCGTGGCGGAAGCAGCAGCGGGGCACCGCGGGGACGACGTCGCCGTCCGCGACGACGCGGTACGCGTCGGGCACGAGCGCGTCGAACGTCCGCGCCCAGATGTGGTTCCCGACGCGCGGCGACCCGAAGGTGTAGCACGAGAGCCGCGTCTGCTTGCGCCGCTGGGGCAGGCAGTGCGTCGCCAGGTCCGCGGCCGCGACCTGCGCGAGCGCGCCGCCTAAACTGTGGCCGCAGCAGAGCACGCGACAGAGCGGCTCCCCGTCGAGAGCTTTGGCCACGGCGGCGAGCAGCCTCGGCCGCACGCCCGCGTAGGCGCGCCAGAAGCCGTTGTGGACGCAGGGGTGGACGAAGGTCTCGAGCTCCGGGATCACGTCGGCGGCGCCGGACGCGCGGCCCAGGCCCTCGGCCGCGCGCTCCGCGGCGACGACGCCGCGCTCGACGCCGCCGAAGAGCACCGCCGCGGACCGCAGGAACCAGTCCATGGGGCCCTTGGCCTCGCGCGACGCGCCGGCCTCGTCGTCGTCGTCGTCGAGATCGCCGTCCTCGAGCGCGGCGTCGGCCTCGGGCGCGGGCGTCGCGGACCGCCGGCGCCGCGCCCGCGGCGTGAAGCGCGGCGTGAAGCGGCCCGGCGGCGGCACGGCCGCCGCCGCCTCCGGCGACAGATCGCGCAAGTCCACGCGCCGCTGCCGCACGTCGAGGTTCACGTACCAGTGCTTGAGCGACGCGGACCCGCGGAACGCGACGACGACGTAGGGCCGCGTCGCGTGGCGCGCCACGAGGCAGTAGGTGTCGTCCTCGGCGCCGACGAGCTCCTCCAGCGGGACGAGCTCGCAGCGGCCCTTGGCGTCGCCGATGCCGTAGGACCCGCCGGACACGGGAGGCGCGCCGCCGTCCCCGGCGTCGGCGTCGCCCTTGGGCGCGACGTCGTAGTAGGACTCCACGGACACCTTGGCGAGCCAGGACGCCGTCTCGACGACGAAGACGGGCTCCGCGGCGCGGCCCGTCCGCTTCCGGATCTGGCGGCGCCGCTTCCGGTCCGCGCGCTCGTCGACGGCGAAGCGCGCGCCGACGAGGACGCCGCTCAGGTTGCCGAGCTCGCCGAGGTCCTCCAAAACCTGGCGCGGCAGGAGCTGCGCGGCGACGCTCGGCCGCGACCGCTCCGAATCGGGCGCGGACCGCTCCGCGGGCGGCGGGAGGTGCAGGTAGAGGATGAGCGCGACGTAGACCGTGAAGCAGAAGGCCGACGCGAGGTCGCGGACGTCGTCGGCGACCAACGCTTCCAGCGCGCCGGCCAGATCCTGGAGCGCGGACGTGAACTGGACCTCGTTGTGCCGCTGGCCCTTGGCCAGCACGAGCAAATTCCGCCGGTAGCCGTGGAACAATTCCACGCCGAGATGATAGTACGACGCGACGCCGATGCCCGCGACGAGCGTCGCCTGGAGCATGAAGTAGCGGTACGACAGCTGGTGCCGCCGGCTCAGCACGTAGGGCGTCCGGTTCAGGCGATCGCCCGCGCGCGCGAGCAAGAACGCGAAGAGCGCGCCCCAGAGGAACATGGCCAGCACGATGCCCAGCGAGCAGGCCACGAAGGCCCGCAACGCGTCCACGGGCCAGGACGCCAGGGCGAGCGTCGGCGCGCGGTCCACGCCCCAGAGCGTCGGGAACCGCATCGCGAGCGCGGAGAGCGAGAAGCCGCAGTACGCGGCGGGCGCGACGAGGAACCAGTTGCGCCGCAGCAGGTGGCGCCGCCGCGGCGGCCGGCCCTGGCGCGCCGCGCGCACGCGCGACGCCGCCGCGCCGTCGCCGTCGGCCGCGAGGAGGAACGCGGCCAGGAGGCACGTCTCGCCGAATCGCCGCGACGCGAAGGACCCGAACGCGACGGCCGGCGGCACGAAGGTCCGCTCCGGCAGCATCTCGACGATGCAGTCCACGGGGTCCACGAAGAGCAAGAGGCCAAAAAGTAATAACACGAGCCGCGGCGCCGCGCCGTCGCCGGCCGCCGCGTCGCGGCGCCGCGCCCGGATCTGGCCGAGGCCGTAGGGCAGCCACGCCGCGGCGATGACGGCCCAGATGCCCAGCAGCGCGACGCGCGCGATGGCCTCGCCCGACGTGTCCAGGCTGTCGACGTCGCTGTACGTCGCGCGGAACTGGCCGCCGGCCGCGAGAAGCTTCGCGACCTCGGGCTGCACGACGTGGCACGCGCCGTCGTAGGCCGCCGCGTCCACGGGCAGGCAGAAGTCGACCCAGACCTGGAGCGACCGCACGCCGGACCGCGACGGCGCCGCCTCCATGTTCTGGTACCACGACGCGAGCGCCGTGGGCAGCACCGCGACGCCGTCGCCGGGCGACGCGTACGCGACCTCGCACGTCTCGCGCCGCCGCTCCAGCACGCTCGACCACCGCCCCGAGGCCCGCTCGTAGCCGTCGCGCGACGCCTCGACGGTGACGGCGTAGGACACGAGGTGGCGCAGCGCCGCGTCGTCGTCGGTCGTCGCGTTCACCGTCGCGTTCGGGTACTGGACCGTGAGCGCGGTGGTCCCGAAGAGCGCCCCGAGGGAGCTCAGCCGCGCGTGCCAGACGGCGCGGCTGCCGACGGACGCCGGCACGCCGTCGCCGAGCGGCTCCACCGCGACGGACGCGCGCGCCTCGTGCCGCGCCTCGGCCGCCGTCCGCGCGCTGTTGTAGCGCCAGATCGCGAGCGCGCAGGACGCGTACATGACGAGGAACAGGAGCCGCGTGCCGCCGGGCGACAGCACCTCGAGCAGGATCTTCGGCGCCGACGCGCGCTTCAGCAGGAAGCTCTCGCCGCGCGAGTCGCGGTGGCTCATGATCTCGCCCTCCGTGTCGCTCTCCACCGTGTGGCGCAGCGGCGACTCGAGGGACGTCATCGACTCGATGCGGTGCTCGCTCTCGTGCTCCGACCCGCGCCAGGGCGTCGGCGTGCAGGGCGTCGACATGCTTTTTTTGAGGGCCTGGCCCTCGAGCAGGCTCGGCGGCGCGGCGCCGCGGGCGGTGCGAGGCTTCTCCTCACGAGTCCTGTGGCTAGGCTAGGAGAGGTTAACAGCTAGAGCCCTCGAGCAGGCTCGGCGGCGGGCGCCGCGGGCGGTGCGAGGCTTCTCCTCACGTCCTGTGGCAATTCTATTGGTCGGGCAATGTTTACTTTTACGAATCGCCGCTCGAGCAGCCCCGTCATCGTCGACCACCAGATCCGGGCGCCGACTCGCAAGCGAGCGTATCCGCACGATGGCCGACTGCGTGACGTGCTGCTGCGCGGAGTGCGGCCGGGGCGTCAAGTCCATCCGCTGCGAGCTGCAGTCCTGCATGCCGACGACGAAGAAGGACGGCCCCATCTGGATGCGGAGCCTCGTCTGCGCGCTCAACGTCTTCCTCACGCCCTGGTGCCTCATGTTCCACTGCGTGCGCATCTACGTCGTCCCCTGCATCTACTTCAGCTTCTGCTACGCGGACCTCCTCGCCTGCTGCTTCCCGCACTGGATGTTTCTAGACAAGGAGTTCCCGGCCGAGGACAAGAGCCTCGGCGCGCTCGAGACGTCCAAGGAGGGCGTGGAGTGGAAGCGCCTCGAGGCGCACCGCGCCGTCGGCGACGAGAAGCCGCCGACGATGAAGCTCTTCGAGGGCCACATCGAGGCCAAGGACGTGTGCCAGGGCGCGCTCGGCGACTGCTGGCTTCTGTCGGCGATCGCGTGCATGACGGAGTTCCACGGCGCGATCCAGCAGATCTTCTACTCGCACAAGGCGAACCCGCGGGGCAAGTACTACGTCGAGCTCTTCGACATCCAGGCGGGCAAGTGGGTCACGATCGTCGTCGACGACCTGTTCCCCCACAAGAACGGCAAGCTCATGTTCAGCCAGCCCAACGGCGACGAGGAGTGGGTGCTGATCCTGGAGAAGGCCTTCGCGAAGCTCTGCGGCTCCTACCACGCCATCGAGGGCGGCCTCGTGCTCTGGGCCTTCCAGGCCATGACGGGCGACGCCGTGTGCTCGTACGTCGTCGCGGACGACGGCAAGACCTGGGAGCGCCTCGACATGAAGCCCAAGCCCGACGACGCGAACAAGCGCAAGTGCGGCATGTTCACGACGGGCGAGCACCTCTTGGACGACGCCATGTACACGCTCCTCGTGAAACTGAAGCACAACGGCTGCGTCGTCGGCGCGGGGTCGCGCGGCAAGGACAACACGATCAGCGAGGGCCGCGGCAAGACGGGGGGCATCGTCCCGGGCCACGCCTACTCCATCATCGACGCGAAGCACGTCGAGAACTTCCGCCTCGTCAAGCTCCGGAACCCGTGGGGCACGTTCGAGTGGGACGGCGACTGGGGCGACAAGAGCGAGCTCTGGGCGACGCACAAGCACGTCGCCTGGGCCTGCGGCTGGAAGAAGGACGCGCCCGACGACGGCACGTTCTGGATGTCCTGGGAGGACTTCGTCAAGTACTTCGACGGCCTCGACGTCTGCTTCCGCACGCAGGGCATGCGCGAGCTCCAGTTCGAGGTCGCGGAGGAGTGCGGCGCCTGCGGGCCCTTCGTCGGCGGGCTCTACGGCATCGGCCGCTTCTTCTGCCTCTGCCAGGGCCTCTACAAGATGTGGTGCGTCCGCAAGGGCACCGAGGAGGAGCTCGAGGACTTCGAGAAGGGCACGCTCAAGGCGTCCGACATCAAGTCCCACGTGTGATCAACCCCCCCATCGTGATCAAGCCCCAAGGCCCTCCCCATCGACGCCCCTCGTCAATCCGCGAAAAAGACGCGTGCCTCGTTGACGTAAGCCGTGAAGTTTGCTCAAGAGCTCCGGACGCCGAGGCAAGTCGCGAAGCTTCGCCAACTCCAAGTCCAACTCCAGCTTACTAAACTTCACCTTGAATTCTGTATCCGCGGTCCCTCCCGCGGCGCCGAGCGCCTCGACGCCGGACCGGGGCTGCCCGCGTTCACACCAGCCGGACCGCCCAGCTCGCGCGGCACCGGGGCTGCCCGGCACTCACATAGACGCCTTCTCGAAGATCACCCGCCCAGCTCGCGCGGCACCGGGGCTGCCCGGCACTCACATGGACGCCTTCTCGAAGATCACCGACATCGAGGACGCCTCCGGCGACGTCGAGGCGCCGCCCGACGACGCGGCGAAGCTGGCCAAGGTCGCGGGCCTCATGGGGAAGAAGCCGGCCGGCGGCGCGGACCCCTGGCGGGGCACGCTCGTGGCCGCCGGCGCGAAGCCGATCAAGCCGACGATCGTCGTCGGCGATCACAGGTCGAGCAAGTGGGCCCACATCCGCCAGGAGCTCACGGACGTCGGCATCGGCGTCGACGACGCGGCGCAGGCGGGCCTGACGAAGAAGCAGCGGGCGAAGCTGCTGGAGACGCAGCGGGAGATCCTGGCCATGGGCAAGGAGGCCTGGATCGCGAAGATCGACGAGGCCCGCATCCAGCGGAAGCTCTCCGGCGTCATCGCCATCCTCATGGCCCTCGCGGTGAGCTACTACGCGGGCGAGATGTTCGTCATCGTCGACGACAGCGGGGGCAAGGTCCCCGCCGTCGTGAGGCTCATCGTGTTCTGCTCCACGGTCTGGGCCCTCATCACGCTCCTCTTCCTGCTCCGCCAGTGCGCGTCCGACACGAAGCACGACAACCTCCTCGACAAAGCGAGGCAGGCCCTCGAGGACCGCGAGATCCGCCAGCGCCAGGAGGCGCGGGAGGCGCGCCACGCGGCGCGGGGGAGCCGCGACGACTAACAGTTACGTTACGACGCGGCGTTCGTGAGCGCGATGAAGTCCCGGAGGCCCCGCGCGAGGCGGTCGTGGCGGTCGAGGCGCCCGCACCGCGAGAGGAGGTACCACGCGTCCGCGGCCCGGAGGAAGGCCGGGCGCCCGCCGATGAGCGCGAGCGCGACGTCGGGCGGCAGGACCGGCGAGCACGCGTAGGCCGCGAGGCACAGAGGCGACGCGCCGCCGAGGAGCAGCGCCGCGGCGACGAGCGCGCCGGCCGCGACCGCCGCGAGGAGCGCGCGGCGCGAGCACGCGAAGACGACGTCGCCGGAGAGGAGCTGCGCGCGCACGGCGTCGGAGATGGACTCGACGACGACGTCGCGCGTCGCGCGCGCCTCGTTGCCGTCGGCGTCGGCGACGACGTACTCGACGCGAAAGTGCGCGCGCTCGCTCGTCTCGAGCTCGGGCCGCCGCTCGATGGCGCCGATGCGCACGCGGTGCGAGAGGTCGTGGCGCCGCCTGCTGCGGCCGTCGACGGGCACGAGGTCGTGCGCCGCGAAGCACGGATTCGCGGTCTCGCAGAAGGGGTCGGACCCGTCCGCGGCCCCGCGCGCGTGTAGCGCCAGAATCTCGTCGGCCGCGAACGTCAGACCGCCCGTGTCCGCGATGGACGCGTAGGCCCCGTCGACGGACGCGAGGCCCCTCACGTTCGCCGCGCGGAAGCGCCGCGGGGCGCAGCCCGCGCCCGCGCAGGAGAGCACCGGCGGCCGTGCGTCCGCGCAGCCCGTGCCGCCGAGCTTGCCGTCGCCCGCGGCGCCGTCGGCGCAGTCGCAGGCGTAGGCGCCGCGCGTGTTCCGGCAGACGGCCGTCGGCGCGCAGGCGTGGCGGAACCTGGCGCAGGGCCCCGCGTAGACGCACTCGTTGACGTCGTCGACGACGACGGTCCGGTTCATGGCCCAGCGCGACCCGTCGAGCCAGGGCGCGTCGACGGCGTAGGCGACGACGAAGGTGCCCACGCGGGGCAGGCACGCGCCGAGCGGGCCGTCGGGGAAGGCCACGGACGTCGAGATGCGCCGCGAGTCGCCGCCGCGGTCGTCGACGCCCGCGACGCCCGCCTCGACGTAGGAGTCGCCCTGCCGCAGCCGCACGACGGCGTCGCCGAGGAGGCCGAGCCGCGGCGCCGCGGCGTCGACGCAGAGCTCGCCGCCGGCGCCGTCGTCGACCTTGGCGTAGCCCAGCTCGGGCGCGCAGGTCGCGCCCGCGGCGCCGGCGACGCAGCGGCAGTGCTTCGGGCACGCGACGTCGTCGCAGGCGTCGGGCCGCGAGCAGCGGCCCAGGGCGTCCTCGGGGACGCCGTCCGCGCAGACGCACCGGAAGCCGCCCCGCAGCGAGACGCGCGACGCGACCGTCGGCGACCAGAGGGCGCTCGGCGGCGCGCCCCCGGGCACGCAGCTCCGGTCCGGCGGGCACACGTCCCGGCCGCCGGCCGCGCAGGGGTCGCTCGCGCATTTGAACGCGCCGCGGCAGTCGTCGCCCGCGCAGCACTCCTTCGTGTCCGCGTGGCCCCAGCAGAGCTCCGCGGGGGAGCCCGGCGCGCGCACGCCGAAGGCGGCGCCACGGCACGCGCAGTCGTAGCCTACCGAGCGCGACGGTAACAATGTTTCATCGTTTTCCCAGCGGACATCTCTCGAAAATCGTCACGGCCACGGGACGCTGGTCGTCGCCGCCGACCGTGTTCGCGCAGGCGGCGGAGGCGTCGCAGCGATGCCGCCAGGCGGCGTCGTGCGTCGCGCACTCGTCGGTGTCCGCGACGTCGTAGACGACCCGCAGGCAGCTCTCGACGAGTTCGCCGCCGTCGCGCCGCGCCACGTCGACGTCGATCTCCCGCGTGCCGACGCTGCGCGCGTCCAGGTCCGCGCCGCTGTAGGACCATTTCACGCTGTCCAGGGTGCGCGGGAACTCCTCCTGGAGCCGCTGGAGCACGATACTCCGCACGAGCGCCATGTCGCGCGGCGCGTCGGCCTGCGAAAAGTTCCTCCCGAGCGCGACGCGCGCGCAGTCGTCGGACGACGCGAGCTGGAGCAGCAGCAGCAGCAGCCCATGATATTGTGCCATCGCGCTTTTAGGCGCACTGCAACTCGCCGTTGTTGAATGTGAGGCTGCCCCTGAATCCAGCGCGCTCCTCGAGATGTTGGTGTGACCGGGGAGTGGGAGGAGGACGTCCCCGAGGATGCAGCGTCTCTCCCACAACCGAGAGAAGATCAAATGGGGCGTCGACAAGGAGCACTCGACGCCCTTCGCGCTCGACACGCTCGTGTCGCTGGCCCAAGGAGTGGAGCACGCGGCGCAGATCATGAAGGTCGAGCACGAGGACGAGCCCGAGGTCGACGTCGACGAGTCGACGATCGGCGACCTCACCGTCGACAGCGAGATGAGCGACCTGGACGTGTGGCTGAACCGCGTCACGTCGCTGGGCAAGCGCGCGTCCGCGGGGAAGTGGCGGCCGCCCGTCGCCGCGCTCGGCCGCCTCGAGACGCTCCAGCCGGTTCCGCAGCCGCTGCCGTCCATCCTGTCGCGGCCGACGACGAGCGAGCTGCCGCGGCCCGCGACGGCGGAGGACGGCGACGGCCTGCCCCTCGGCGTCTGCGCGCCGTCGGCCGCGCGCGCGTCCAAGGGCGACCCGCTCGCGTACCACGGGGGCCAGGAGGGCCGGGCCCACTTCTTCTCCATCGCGAAGAACATCCACGACCGGCCCGCCGACGCCGACACCGTGCGCCACTGGCTCGAGGAGGACCTGGACGTCGACGACCTGAGCCGGGGCCGCCCCCGGAGCCCGAGCTCCGGCGGCGGCGGCGCGAGCCCGGTTAGAGTGAGCCGCGTCGAGGGCGCCGCGGCGCGCGTCTTCTGCGAGGTGCTCAAGAGCAAGTCGCTGCCGCCGCGGCCCACGCTCGCGCGGCTCCACGCGGGGCACCGCCACCTCGACGCGACCGGCGCGAGCCTCGGCGACGACTTCGGCGAGGCGCTGATCCTGGCTCTCCCCCAGCTCCCGGGCCTCGAGAAGCTGAGCCTGGGCGAGAACTCGCTGACGGACCGCACGATCGAGCCCCTGCTCCGGGGGCTCATCGCCATCGGCCAGCTCACGTCGCTCGACCTCTCGCGAAACGACATCGACGCGGGCGGCGCCGCGGCGCTCCGCGAGTTCGTGTCCAACGGCGACTGCCCGTTAGAGGAGCTCGTGCTCCGCCACGCGGACATCGACGACGACGACTGCCGCGCGCTCTGCGAGTCGCTCGCGTCGAACCGGGAGTCGCGGCTGCGGACGCTCGACGTCGGCGACAATCTCGTGGGCCTCAACGAGGGGCGGAACCTCTGCGTGCCCGACTACGTGACCGGCGGCGAGGCCCTGGCGTCGGCGCTCGGCGTCAACGTGTCCCTGACGAAGCTGGACCTCTCCTGGAACGCGCTCCGCGACGAGTCCGCGCGCGCGCTCGGCCGCGCCTTCGCGGACAACGCGTCGCTCTTCGACGTCAACCTGGAGTACAACGGCTTCGGGGACGCGGGCTGCGAGGCCGTGGCCATGGCCCTCGAGCAGAACAGCGGCATGCGCATCCTGCGCCTCGCGCACAACGGCGTCCGCCAGCGGGGCGCGTTCGTCATGGGCTGCTGCCTCGGCTACCGGCGCAAGCCCTTCCACAAGCTGACCTTCATGGGCAACCACCCGGGCGCCATCGGGGCCCGGTCGTTGCTGGCGGCCGTGCGCGCGCGGCGGGGCGAGTTCATGGTGCACATGGACGGCTGCAGCACGCACGAGACGAACGAGGACGCGCGGTTCTTCGACGTGCTCAAGCCCGCGGGCGCCTACAAGCTGAAGCTCGACGAGCCCTACGACTACTGCGTCGCCCGGAGCCTGCTCACGGTGGCGACGCACCGCCCGGGCTGCAAGTTCGCGTCGCTGTCCGTCGCGCCGGGCGACGACCCGCGCGCGCACGCCGCCGACGTCAAGCTCTCGCGCACGGAGATCACGCCGGAGCAGGAGCGCATCCTCGTGTGGAAGCCCATCATCGCCCACATCATGGCGCGGGGCGCCTTCCCCCACCACAAGCTCGAGGAGGTGCTGGGCAAGTGCCACCTGCACCCGCCGCCGCACGCGCTCCAGCGCATCCGCGAGCACGTCGACGGCCACCTCCAGGGCTTCCTCACGACGGGCAAGCAGCCCAAGTCGGCGACGAAGCTGCGGACCGACGGGTCGCTCAACAGCAAGTTCGAGCACGCGGAGCGCAAGGTCGAGCACGCGGCGCAGATCTCGCGCGGCCGCGGGTCCATCGACAAGGGCAAGGAGGGCGGCCGCGGCAAGCTCACGCACGAGGTCATGTTCGACATGATCTTCCGCGGCGCGTTCAAGATCGTCGACGTCGACGGCTCCGGCGAGCTCAGCGCCGCGGAGATCGCCGAGTGCGGGTCCCTCCTCGGCACGAACATGGACGAGGACGAGGCGCGGCGCGTCATCGAGGAGCACGACAAGGGCCACGACGGCGCCCTCTCCGAGTCGGAGTACGTCGCCTACATGCTCAAGGTCTTCCTCAACGCCCCGACGGGCGCGTCGGCGCCCCTCGTCGACAAGGACGGCCAGGTCTGGGACGTGCCGCGCGACGGCGCCATGACCGCGGTCTTCGAGTGCGAGGACGGCTCCAACGGCCACGCCTGCCACATCGGCAGCGACGCGGGCGTGCGCGGCCTGCTGGCCATGATCAACAGCGCGTCGACGGACCTCGAGAAGCTCAAGCTCTTCGACTGCGCGACGGCCGAGGGCGGCGCGTCGGGCTTCTTCACGTTCGCGCAGGGCCAGCAGATCATCGACATGTGCAGCCGCACGGCCCACCTCGACGTCTACGAGATGTGCCGGAAGCTGGCGACGTCCATGGCGTCGCCCGAGGACTGCACGGCGCTCCTCGCGCACAACCTCCGCGAGGACCAGCAGCTCGCGCTGCGCTGCGAGCTCGGCCCGCCGCTCTGGCGGACCTGCGTGGGCAGCCTCGGCGGCCACTACTGCCTCGACCTGGCCAGCGTCGGCGACCGCGAGATGCTCGAGCTGCTCATGAACAAGAGCAACGGCGAGCAGGTCAACTGCCGGCGCTGGAAGCAGGCGGACGTGTCGCAGCAGGGCAGGTGGAGCGGCCTCCTCCGCAACGTGCGGCTCAACCGCGCGCCCTACGGCAAGCTGCTGGCCATCGAGAGCCTCCCCGCCTGTGGCATGCTGTCCTTCGACGTCGTGCCCATGAACCGGCCGCGCGAGGGCGACGCTGCCATGGACGGCGAGCGCTTCGAGGGCATGCTCTCGTCCGTCAAGGCGCGCGAGTGGCGCGCGGGCGCGAACCCGCCGGAGAAGTCGAAGCTGCTGTCGAAGCGCGAGAAGAAGAAGGCGGCGCTGAACAAGAAGAAGGGCGACGACGGCGCGCTGCCGCCCGTCGCCAAGGCGCCGCCGCGCGCGGGCGCCAGGGGCCGGAAGAACGCGGGCGACGAGGCGGTCTGGCCCTACGCGCCCGACTGGCCGCGGCGGCGCGGCGCGGCGCTGCTCACGGAGGACCAGACGACGGCGCTCGCGTCGCAGCTCGTCGAGTCGTCGCTCGAGGGCTTCGCGACCGCTGGCGTCGACGCGGACGAGACCGCGGCCGTCGAGGGCCGCGCGCCGGAGCCGCCGCCGGAGCCCAAGGCGCCGCCGGGCCGGTCCACGCGCCGGCCGCCGGCCGCGGAGGCCCCGCCGGCCAACGACCCGCTCCGGCCGAAGATCCGCTACCTCCGCGTCTCGAAGCGCGCGGGCTGCGCGGGCGCCGTCGACGGCGACGACGCGCGGAAGCTCCACCTGCCCAAGGTCGAGCCCCTCGCCTGGCTCACGATCCGCCTCACGGCCCTCGAGGTGCGGGCGACCAAGGCCTTCTTCACCGCGGCGCAGGCCGCGGCGCTCTGGGACCTCATGCCCGAGGGCGAGGCCTGGGCCGAGCTCCGCGTCCAGCTCCTCGTGATCCTGTACCGGCGCATCGTCGACGTCGAGAACCTGCACACGGCGCTCCTCTGCCGCGTGTCGCACCGCGACCTCCTCCGCGTCCGCCACCGCCTCGGCCCGCTCGCGGTCTTCAACCCGCGGCACCCGGACGGCTACCACCGCTACACGCTGAGCAAGCACGACGAGCGCGAGGTCGTCAAGATCCTCGTCAAGCTCGCCGACGAGGAGGACGGCAAGCAGTGGTACAAGGAGCTCTACAAGCGCTCCGAGGGCTTCGCCGACTCCGACTGGACGCCGGGCTGGACGCTGCCCGTGACCTGGACGGACCCCGAGCCCAAGGACCCCACGGACATCCACGTCCCGCGCAGCGGCACGGTCCAGTTCGAGTGGAAGTGCTCCAAGCCCGCCTGGCACGTCCGCGACAGCCTCCTCCACGTCGTCGCCGCGGGCTCCGCGCCCGCGCACGCGAACCTGCTCCGCATCACGAACCAGGGCCACGTGCTCCACAGGTAAGGGCCCAATTAGCTATCGCACGCGGGGGGGGGTCCCAGCTCGCCGGCCTACGTCGTCGCCAGGCCTGCGCAGCTGCGAAGTCAGCTGCGGACTTAGCTGCGGCTGTGCGGGCGACGCTCGGTGACCTCCATGCCGAAAGTCAAGGTGTATGGGAAACATGCCCAAAGTTGACGTTGGCGTGCAGCCCCACGCAACGATGGATCTCGTCTTTAGCTAGCTCTAGAGCGACCGCCTCGACTGCGCCATGCCGCAAGAAGACGATTTCTCGCGCGACACGCCCTATTCGGAGCCGCCGTCGTCGGTCTCGGAGCACAAGGCTGACGACGAGCGCTCCCACGACGACGACGCGTCGCACGCGAACGAGAGCATCTCCCTCGACGGCAGCGACGACTGGCTCGAGGACGGCGCGCTCGAGCCCGAGCAGGGCACGGCGGCCTGGGCCAAGGACGAGGCCGGCGGGCACCACCGCCGGGGGCAGATCGTCGTCGAGGCGCACGACGACGCGGAGCACGTCAAGGAGCACGAGCTGCACGAGAAGGTCGACCACTTCTGGGAGGACGAGGACGTGCTCGCCTACAGCAACGTCGTGCGCATGTGCCTCGCCGGCGACGTGGGCTCGCTCGAGGAGGGCGTCAAGTTCGCGAACAAGTACCGCCGCGCGCACGAGATCGCGGACGAGCAGCACGTCGCGGTCATCGAGCGCCACGGCTGGTCCGACTACCACTGGAAGTCGACCGCGCCGGAACCCGTCATCCCCCTCCAGTTCCGGCGGAAGGAGGCGGAGGAGGAGGCCAAGGTCGAGGACTACGAGCTGCCGAGCGAGCCGTTCGTCGAGGCGGGCACGAAGGAGCACTACGCCAAGTTCGGCTACGACTACGGCCCGCGGAACACGTTCTCGAGCCTCATGTTCAACGCGCGCGCCAACGCGAAGACCGTCAAGGCCTACTGCGAGGAGAAGGAGCCCGAGCCCGAGCCCGAGCCCGAGCCCGAGTTCGTCCTCGGCGACGGCTGGTCCGACGAGTCGGAGCCCGAGCCCGAGCCCGAGCCCGAGCCCGAGCCCGAGCCCGAGCCCGAGCCGGAGGTAGAAGCGGTCGCCGTCGTCGAGCGGCCCGCGACGCCCGAGTCGCCGGCGACGCCGCCGCCGCGCGCGATCACGCGGGCCGACGCGCGCGCCGTCGACGCCGCGGTCCGGTCGCGGCTCCAGGCCCTCGAGAAGCTCACGAAGATCCCGCTGGACGTGCGCGTCGACCTCGAGGCGGGCCGGCTCGTCGTCCCGCGCCAGCGCATGGTCAAGTGGGGCCACCCGAACACCGACGACGTCCGGACGGCCGAGGGCCGCCGCGTCGTCGCGGAGATCGGCCTCGCTTTACGGCACCTCGACGAGGAGTGCGCGGCGCGCGACCTGCCGCTGACGGCGTCCGTGCGCGTCAAGGTGCGCTGCGGCGACGACCGGCCCCTCAGCGACCAGCAGCGGAGCCAGGCGGACCGCCTGTCGCTGCGGCGCGCGCGCCGCGTGCGGCGGCTCGTGCTCGAGCAGAACCGGTCCATCCGCGAGGAGAGCGTCGTCGCGCTCGTCGGCGGCGTCGCGCCCAAGCCCGACGCGCCCGCGGTCCACGTGGCCCTCGCCCTCGAGCGGCGGCGCGTCCTGCCCGCGGCGGCGACGAAGCTCCGCGCGAAATCGAAGGCGCTCCTCTTCCTCGGCGCGGCCGCCGCGGCCGCCGACGAGAAGGACGACTACTAAGGTGTTACCTAGAGCTCGCCCGCGGGCTTGTCCGCCGCCTCAACTGCCGCGTCCTCCGGCGGCGGGTCGTCCTTGTGCTCGTATTTGTGGATGATGGAGTTGCGGTGGCAGGAGTGGAAGTACCACGCGTAGAGCGCCGCGTCGACGGCGTGGTCGAGGTCCGCCATGCTCGCGGCCGTGTCGCCGTGGTTCGGCGCGTAGGCGGCGGCCTTCTGGCGGCACTGGGCGGCGACGGCGCGGAACCAGAGGGGCTCGGCGACGACCGACGTCTCGTCCTTGGCGGCGTCGGCGTCCGCCGGCTTGAGCTCCTCCGCGAGCCACGCGACCGTCGCCTCGTCCTCGATCTTCATGCGCGCGCAGTAGCGCGCCGTCACGGCCTTGTAGTCGCCGAGGGGCTCGTCCGGGTCCAGCGCCTCCTGGACCGGGAAGAGCTCGAGGCCCTTGGCCTCCAGGAGCCGCTCCGCGTAGCGCGACCGCGATTTCTCGAAGAGCGCGAGGAGCTCGTTGGTCTCCGCCTCGGCGCAGGTCGTCGCGCCCTTCTTCACCGTGCAGGCCAGGCCCGCGACGAAGGCCTTGAGCACCCAGGACCGCGGGTCCGCGGGCACGAGCTCGTAGAAGTTCGCGACCTGGTCGGCCTCGAGGTCCCTGAGCGCGTCCGCGAGGAACTTGCCGAGGGCGACGCCCGTGTTGCGCATCTTGAAGCTGTTCATGACGATGCCCTGCTTCACGGCGTCGCAGGGATCCTTCATGAGCTCCACGACCTGGCCGTAGTGCTTGGGCGTCAGGTGGCTACCGAGGAGCGCGTCGAGGATCGGCAGCGCCGCGGCGTCGTAGGGCTCCAGCGCGCAGACCTTCTCCGTCGCCGCCGTGTCCGCCGCGGCGTCCGCCGCGAGGCTCGAGGCGACGACGACGGCGCAGACGAGGTGTCGCAGCATGGCTCGCGGATTGCAGTGGCCACAGGGGAGCTGCGGCAACGAGACCTAGTTGAACCACAACATCGATCAGTCAATTAGAGATGTCAATTAGATCGCACCAGGCTCTTTTCGGCAGAAGCGGGCAGCCTCGAACGTTGCCGTCGGTGCCGAGTCATGTCGGACACGGAGAGCGAGTCGGCGCTGGAGCTCGGCAGCCGCCTCACGGCGTCGTCCCTGTCGCCGACGCTGCCCGGCGACGCCGAGCCGCTCAAACCGGTCGACAAGGCGTCGGAGCCGCGCGGCAACCTGCTCAAGAAGCAGAGCGAGTCGCGGCTCGTGGGCCTCCAGCGCGAGGACAGCGTCGTGCGCTTCGCCGGCGAGGTGTCGCCGGCCAAGACGGAGACGCCGAGCCGGCGGCCGAGCAGCGGCCACGTCATGAACCGGCAGCACTCGGCCTTCAACGCGATCGTCGACGGCAACATCGAGGAGTACGAGAAGCGCGTCGAGAAGCGCCTGCAGCCCGGCGGCTACACCATGCTCCACCCGGCGTCGAAATTCCGCCTGCTCTGGGACATCCAGATGCTCGTCTACGTCGTCTACGTGTCGCTGCTCTTCCCGTACTACATGGGCTTCAACACGGAGGCCAAGGGCGGCGTCGCGATCTTCGAGCTCATGATCGACTACCTCTTCATGGTGGACCTCGTCCTGAACTTCCGCACGGGCTACATCGACCGCAACGGCATCGTCGTCCTGGACGGCCGCCGCGTCTTCCTGCACTACCTGCGGACGTGGTTCGTCCTCGACTTCGTGTCGTCGGCGCCGCTGGACCTGCTCCTGGGCCCGGCCTTCCGCAACCTCAACGCGGCCAAGCTCCTCAAGGTCGGGCGCCTCTTCAAGGCGCTGAAGATGCTGCGCATCGGCAAGCTGGCCAAGCTCACGCAGGAGTCGGGCGTCACGGAGTCGCTCGACGAGTTCATGGTCTCCGCGCCGGCGAACGCGCTCTTCAACCTGCTCAAGGTCGTGGGCTCCTGCGCCCTCCTCTGCCACCTCATGGCCTGCTTCATGGCGCTCTCCGGGCCGGGCTTCCTGGAGACGTACGCGTGCGCCGACGACGACGGCGGCTGCCACGAGGGGAACGCGAACGACTGGCCGACGAAGCGCAAGTACCTCGCGTCGCTCTACTGGGCCATGTCGACGATGACGACCGTGGGCTACGGCGACGTGATCCCGCGGTCCGACGAGGAGCGCGCGTACGCGATGGTCGGCATGATCGTCGGCGGCGGCTTCTACGGCTACGTCATCGGCATCATCTCGACGCTCGTCGCCGTCTCCGACGCGAACATGCGCGCCTACAACGAGAAGATGGGCGTCGTCAACGCCTGGCTCGAGTTCAACGACCTGCCGCGCGAGATGCGGCGCAAGGTGCGGACGTACTTCAAGACGTTCCTCAGCGAGCGGAGCGCGCTCGACGAGCAGGCGATCCTCAACGACCTCGACCCGGGGCTGCGCGCCGAGCTCGGCCAGTACCTCATCCCCGACGCGGTCCGCGACTCCGCGCTCTTCTCGGGGCTGCCGCCGACGGTGCTCGCGAAGCTCTCGACGCTGCTCCGGCCCGTGCCCGCGGCCGTCGACGACGTGCTCCAGGTCCAGGGCACGCACGGCGTCACGATGCACGTCGTCGTCGCGGGTTTGGTCGAGGTCGGCCGCAGCGCGAAGCTGCCCGCGCGCGGCGACTCGGTCACGCTGGAGTCGCCGAAGCTCGCGGGCGCGTTCTGGGGCCGCCAGGCGTCGGACCTCGGCGCGCCGGGGTCGCCCAAGGGCCCGACGACGACCCACTTCCTCAGCGCGTCGGACACCTTCGGCGAGCTCGTCGTGCTGGGCATCGAGCACACGTACTCGGCGACGGCGACGGCGCGCGAGCCAACCGCGCTCTACATGATCGAGCAGGCCCAGCTCTACGAGCGCTTCGGCGCCATGCCCGAGGTCATCAACAAGATGCGCCAGCACGCCATCGAGGCCCGCGAGGAGCGCCAGACCGGGCGCGGGGGGCGGGCGAGGAGACGGGCAAGGAGGCGGCGGCGGCGCGACGCTCCCGACGGGCTTCGCCGACACCATGCTCGAGGCCCTGGGCGACATCCAGCACCGCCTCGAGGAGATCTACGACCGCCTCGACGGCATCGAGCAGGCGCAGGCCGACCCCCGGTCCGAGGCGCTCGCCGCCGAGGCCGCGCTCAACGCGTCGCTGAACGCGTCCGTCGCCGCGGTCCTCGACCGCGACCGCGCCAAGGCGGCGCGGCCGCCGGGCGACGCCCAAAAGGGGCCCGCGCCGCGCGCGGGCGCGACGCCCTACGCGAGCCCGGACGCGGGCGGCCGCCGCGTCCCCCTCGTGCGCCAGCTCAGCGACCACCGCATCACGGACAACTCGCCCGAGGCCAACGCGAACCGCCGGCGCCTCAAGCGCTTCGAGGAGCTCCTCGAGAACCGGTCGCCCGAGCCGACGCGCCGCGCGATCTCCGCCGTCGACGCGGAGCACTGGATCGCCGCGACGAACAAGAGCCGCGACCGCAAGCACGCCGCCCAGGCGCCCCGGTCCACGCCGGCGGCCTACCGCTCCCTCGCGCCCAAGGACGACGCGGCCGCGGCGCGGCCGCCGTTCAAGAAGGCGTCCTCGGGCTCCGCGCTCGGCGAGCACGCGGCCGCGGAGGAGCGGCCGGGCCTGGCCCGGTCCGTGTCGGACCCGAGCCCGGAGACCGCGGAACGGACCCTCGGGGAGACGTAAGTACGTTTAGTGGCCACCGGGCGGGCACCAGAAAGCGACGACGTGGCTCGCGGCGTCGAGGGGGATGGGGCGGCCCGCGGCGCGCGGCGCCGGCACGTGATAGTAGCTCTGGCGCACGGGCGGCGGCCCCTTGCGGGATTTCTTGGCGCTGAGCTTGGAGACGAGGCCGGAAAGCACGCGGCGGTGCTTGGCGACGAACTCCGCCCAGCCGCCGGCGGCCCGGATAGCGTCCCGTAGTTCGAAGGCGGCCTCGTTACCGGGCTCGCGCTCCCCAAAGTCGGCTACGGCGATGTCTTGCGCGCCAGCGCGCAGAAACACCTTGACCAGGTTGCAGTGCCCGTGAGTGAATGCGATGTAGAGGGGCGTGTTCTCCTTCGCGGGTTCCCCGTCCAAACCTACGCCAGCATCGTCGACGCGAGCCCCGGCTGCGAGGAGAAGCTTCGCGCAGCGTGTGCAAATAGGCACCCCCATGCCCACGGAGAAAGCGAAAGCCATCGCAGCCAAGGGAGTCATCCCAAAGGAGATCGTGTGGACGTTCGCGCCGGCCGCGAGCAACACGGCCATGACCTGGTGATGGTGCCCTTTCCAGCTTCGTGAAGCGCCGTCCATCCAGTGTTTCGTCTGGCGTCGACGTCGGCCCCGCGGCTGAGCAAAAAAATCGCGGCCGCTAGCCGATTATTTTTTACAGCGAGTCTCAGAGGCAAGCCGTCATTATAGTTCAGCCAGACTCCGACATGAACTCCGACTGTCCCCGTACACATCCACATCGTCTGCAAGGCGTCGACATCTCCGCGTCCAGCAGCATCAACTAAGTGGTCAGCTGTCACGCTCATCATAGCGCAGGCGGGGCCGCCTACGGGATGCGCGAGGTCCAGCCCGCCATCATCGTCGAGGCCACTGCATCATTTCCGCGTCGGGCCGGGTTGCCTCGACAGATCATCGAGTGATGGCCACGTCCTTCGCGATGCGCCGGGCCACCGTCGCCGTCCTCGCGGCCCTCGTCCAAACCTGCGGCGGCTTCGCCGCGACGCACGCGCCGCGCCCGAAAACGACGCTCGCCGCGTCCGACGACTCCTGGGCCGTCGAGCTCCAGCAGGCCGCCGGCGGCGCGGAGGAGAAGGAGGCGGCGTCGTGGCTCAAGGGCAAGAACGCGGGCGTGGATGGCGGCGAGCGCGCGCGCAACGACGCGCTCATGGCCTGGCTCACGGACAACGACGTCTGGGTCAGCGAGCTCAGCGGCTGGAACGTGCCGCCGCACAGCATGGCGCTCGCGACGACGACGTTCGACGAGCTCGAGGGCGAGGACAGCGGCCGCGGGCTGCTCGCGCGGCGCGCGATCACGCAGGACGCCGAGCTCATCCGGTTGCCCGTGCGGCTCTGCATGACCAAGGCGTCCGCGCTCAAGGCGCGCGAATTGAGAGGTTCCCTGAACGACGACACGAACGAGTACATCGCCATCGCGCTCCTGCTGATCCTCGAGCGGTCCAAGGGGTCCCGCAGCTTCTGGTCCGAGTACATCGCCATCCTCCCGACCAACGAGGACGTCGGCGCGACCTTCACGTGGCCCGCGGAGGAGCTCGCATACCTCGAGGGGTCGCCCGCCGCGTCCGCGACGGCGTCGATGATGGCCAAGCTCCGCGCGGAGCACGCCGCCGTGCTCGAGGGGAACAGTGCTCTGGACCCGGAGATCTTCACCTTCGAGGCCTGGCAGTGGGCCTTCACGAACCTCTTCAGCCGCGCGATCCGGTTAAAGGCGTCGCGCGCCGGCGAGCTATTGGCGATGGTGCCCTACGTCGACTTCATCAACCACAGCCCCTTCTCGTCGAGTTATGTTGATGCCCGTGAAGTCCCCAAGGCCTTCCCCTGGGAGGAGAAGGAGGACGAGGTGGTCTTGTTCGCGGACCGGGCCTACAAGAAGTTCGAGCAGGTCTTCATCTCCTACGGCCCGAAGTCGAACGCGGACCTGCTCTTGCTCTACGGCTTCGCGCTGGACCGGAACCCCTTCAACAGCGTCGACCTGGCCGTGGGCGCGTCGAAGGACGACGCCCTCTACGACGCGAAGGAGCGCTTCGCGCGCGGCGCGGGCCGCGACGTGTCGAGCGCCGCGTTTCCGCTCTACGCGGACCGGTTCCCCGACGAGCTCGTCCAGTTCCTGCGCATGGCCTGCGCGACGGAGGACCACCTGGGGGCGCGGCCGTTGGACGACCCGGACAACTACGTCGACATCCTGTCCCTGGACAACGAGCTCGCGGTGCTCGACACGATTCGGGACGCGTGCGACGCCGCGGTCGCCGCGTACCCGGCCAAGTCGGGGGACGACGTGCCCGACGCCTTCCTCTCGCGCAACCAGCGCATGGCGAAGCGCCTCGTCAACACGGAGAAGCGCATCCTCCTCAAGACCATCGCCGCCGTCGAGCGCAAGTCCAACGAGCTCCTCGCCGCGCCGTCGTTCGCGTTCGAGCGGCGCCAGCCGGACGTGCTCTCGAACTTCAAGTAAGGCCCCTAGTCGTCGAGGGGGTAGCACGCGTGGAAGCCGCCGGGCTGCACGGGCGGCCGGTGCGCCTCGCCGCGGACCTTGTTGTAGATCCACGCGAGCTTCGTGTTCTGGATGGCCCAGGACCCGCGGTACGGCGACCGCGCTAACACGATCTGCCAGCTCCGCGGCGGGAGCGTGTCCTCGACGGCGTAGGCGTCGTCGGGCTTGCTCGGGTCCAGGACGCCGCCGTGGCGGCTCGACACCAGGTTCCGCGCCGCGCCCAAACCCACGGTCACCGTGAGGTACGAGCTCCGCCGCCGGTTCTCCACCACGTAGATGCCGTCGAGCTCGTAGACGCGCTCGTCCTCGTCGGCGCCCGGCGCGGCCTTGGCGGTTTCGCCGCCCTGGGTGGCGCCCTTGGCGATGACGGCCGCGCGGACCGCCGCCGCGAGCGCGTCGGGCGCGAGGCCCGCCGCGGCGACGTGCTGGAGGGGGCGCGACGAGTAGAGCACGGCCGCGAGCGCGTGCTTCGAGCCGATGCCCAGCACGCGCCAGTTGAGGCAGAGGGGCACCAACAAGTAGGCGCGGCCCGGCGCGAGCTTCAGG